TTTTAACATTTGTACAAGTTTAATAAAGACAATTTTCATACTCTAATGTTTATACTGGAAGATGGTTATGTCACGATACTTGTAAGAACAAACTTAATAAAAGATGATGGGTAGAACAGATTAATCAATAGTCTCCCAGGCGTCATTGTATGTCAAGGGATTAATGTTCACACAGAAAAGTGTGAAACTTTTTGAACTTTTCATTATGTCACTTGAAATTGAATACTCACTTGGAAAATAAGTAACAACTTATAAGATATACTTACAACGAACGGTCTTGAAAGATCAGCGTCGTCTAGATGAACTTCCTCCTCGTTCGGTGTCTCGATTACTGGCGCCGGTAGCCGGTTGCTCGTCTGTGCCTGCGCCTTTGGAGCTGATTTCTCGACGCCCAGGAAGTGACCCCCTATCGAGGTCATTTCATCACCATCTTGAATGATGTCGTCGTAAAGGGAGCCGTCGCTCTGCTCGGTCCCGGCTCCTCCTACGTTTTCGTTACTCTTGTCGGCACTGTTGTTATCGTCGTCGTTGTTGTTGTTGTTGTGAACGGTGGGCGGCACTGTGGTTTGCGGGTACTGCGGTCGTATCTGATCCTTCCGCTCTTGAATATAGTGGCCGACAGATCCGCTAAGTTGACAGTGATCCAAACAGCCGTGACGACAGATCTCAACCTTGACATTGATCGAAACAACTTAACGCTCTGACGTTTCTCTCTCTCCTCCCCGCCTCCCCCCGCCCTCTTTTCTTTTCTTTTTCTAATTGTAAGTACATGGTTTGCATAATCGAATAGCCAAATCACTCAACGTTCATTCGCAACGTTTACCGAGTAAATTGATCAAGCCGCTTGTAAATATTTGCTCTTTGCTTTGGCGAAAAACCTCTCCGGGTTAACGGACAAGGTGCGCGACAAAGTACCTCGCGCCGCGCGCGTAATCGTACTTTCAGCCGCCAATAATCCCGCGTTTCCGCTGTTTTATCCGCCGTATATATTATTATCCAACGTCGTTTACCTTGCACTTGATGTGCACGCTCAACGCGTCCGGGAACTTGAACGCGTGGAAGAAGGCGTAGGTAATGACCGTCGCCCGATCGTCGGAGCCCCGTGCCTTCAGGAATCGGCTGATCATCTTTGGCCTGAGCACGCAGCCGAACTCGTCGCTCAGCTGTATCGTGTGTCCACCGCCGTCCGAGGCCACGCACGACTTCACACGCATGTCGAACTCCCCTGTGTCGAATTTAATTATACGAGAACGAGCGTTAACGAACGATGCAACAATAGTAATAATAGTAGTAGTTCGGATCGTCTTATTGTACAGCGAAGCGAAGTTTTTCTGCAAAGTCGAATTGGCTGCTCGCCATCGTTACCTCGATAATCGTTTATAGCGACGACCAGGGTGAGAGTCGAGCCGAGCGGCACTATCCCGGAAACTGGTGGTGCCCAGGGTCCCTTGCCGTGTTGGATCTCCATCCAACAGTCCACGTTGTCACCTGCAATACCGATAAAAACCGGTATAGTCGTTGCTGTTGCGCTTGATACCTGAGTTTCGCGGCGGTCTGTTGCCTCGCGCGTTCTCTAGACGCGACGTGTCAGCCGCGATTTATACGCGTTGCATAAAGCGAAGTTAAGTGGCGTGCACTGCGGTCCTACCTGTGGTTAACCGCCGCTGCACGAGTTACCGCGCACCGTCGCGACCATTTACCTCGAATTAAACTCCTTGCACGGAAGGATTATCGTCTTATAATCTTTCCGTCGTGCTGGAAACTTGCCTTCATTTATCGAAACGGACGTTGAAACGGAAAGATATGTCGAAACAAAAATAACTTGTGATATTGTCGATGGTGTCGTCACATTTGTGTCAAATGGATACTGCCCAGATGTGACAAATATCATTGGCCGACGTTTCTGTATGTAGAATAGAAAAACTATACCTCTGAAGTCTAGCTGTATCACGTCGAGATCGGCGATGACCATCGGCGGTTTCGAGGCGGTCTTCTCGTAATCGTTGAACCACTCGCATCGCAGCCGTTTCGCCTCGTCCCAGACCTCGAGTAAATCCTTGTCGTACTGAACGACAACGGTATTCTCATAGAACTGTCCGTGCATGTCTGGCTTGGTACCGCATCTGCGATCGAAACGAGTAAAGATCTAGACTTCGAGCATCGATTCGTCAATCTTCATCAACAAGCTTGATGCGATTCACCTCATGCAGCGAACAACGCCCGCCATGTCGTCGGACGATTCATTTTCAGAAAGCGCATCGAAACACGCGCGCGAGACTGCATTGCGAGAATCGAGATTAACCGTCCGTCAAATAACTTCTGGTTAAAGGTCAAAATCGTTTGTCCAATTATCCTTTATCGCGGCTGCGGGCCGGTTCACGCGAGACGCCCCATAAGTTCCAATTAAAGTCATAACTTAGCAATCCTCTGCGCGATCTCTCCCGTGCATTAACGTTTCCACGCGCTTTAAATCCCGGTAATCGAGCCGCGTGCTGCCGCGCCAACGAAACAGCTTACCCATAAAGATCGCTTTCGCGGATAGACACGGTTCGATGGACCGCGCGAGAGCGCCATACGTACGTAAATAACGCGTTCTCGCGCGGAGAAGTATGCTAAGTCTTACCTCGCGTATGCTATCCGAAAGGAGAAGAAAGTCTGTCCGGTGGACGGTGGAACGTAGACGCATCGCGGGTCGGCGTGTTGGCCTTTCGACGAGACGATGCCCTCAAAGGGTTGGGAGAACGATAGATGCACGTCCATGTGATCCTTTCCGCACATCACTTCGAGGGACTGTATGGCTGGCATTCCCTCTGGCCTTTCTAGCGGCCAAATGTCGCTATTGCTACCGACGCTCTTCAAGCCAACCACCTGTGCGAATTCAACGAATACGCTTTTACACCTTGAACTTACTCTGCTCACCTTTCAAAACGCGAATTCTCAGGCCGAATTCCCAACTTCTCCGAGAAATTCGTTTCGGCGCGAGCCGAGAGAGTTAATTTCTTGGACAACGAAGGGCGAGGTAAAATCCTGATATTGGAATGCTGTATCACCAGAATAGAATCTCTGTAGTAGATGATCTACATACTGTTCTGATAATATAACATTCGAATATTCAAATATCACTGTAATATAGATCTCTTTCATACTAGTTAATGAAAAAGTCACATCTTGCGCTACATTTCTGCAGTGGTAACAAACAAAAATGAAGCTTAAGTCTGAACTAATTGAACCAAAATTGGCAAAAGATTAATTTATAGCACGGTTAATCGAGATTTATTGCAAGCGAGACGGACTTGTGTCTGACAATGAGTCTGATGGAAATGTTGTTCGTTTAAATATTATCTGTTACGTTACAAATTCACGAAGAGTAATTATGAATCTACTTATGAGATAGTCACCTGTTGCTTTCGATACAGGTTTAATCACGTGGAAAATATTAATCATCCGTCAAGTGGCACTTGGGGCTGATTTTTTCATTGTTAGATTAGTTTAACGGTATCTTATTTTATTTGACACGCTGATTCATTAGAAAGTTCGTTGAGAAAATTAAGAATGGGAAATATTTCGCCGAGCACGTGGTTGATTGTGTCAGAAATTGCGTCGAGTACTCGCGTAAATTAAAGTTATTAAGCGTCTTGTAAACGTGTCAACACAAGGTAGAATTTATTATCTTAATCACGTGTATCCTGTACCGTTTTATACTCGTGTTCCTCCTTCTCTAAATGGGATGTAATAAAATATTTAATTACTTGAATGACCGTACCAATTAGATTTAATGTACTCTTCTAACGATCGTTAGTTACGTTCCTCGTATTACTCTCATTTATGACCAAAGCCAAGAAACTTATATTTTCCCTGACGTGTTGATCTCGTTGTTGGTGCGCTGGCACGTTCTTGGATTGAAGTTAAACGATTTTGACAATAGAGTGTGATACAGCGTTAATGAAATTTGGAACGGTAAGAGTTGCGGTATAGTTACCTAGATACATAACCGTTATGAAATTTTTATAATCCAAGCTATGCTCTGATAATTAATAGAGCAATATCGTGAACGAGAAAAAGTCGAAGATCGTTCACAGGAAAGTAGAAACGCACTTTGTCCGGACGAAAAAATCTCTGACGCGCATAGTGATCCGGGACTGCATAATCGCGAACTAAATTCATGGCATTGTTATTCATATATTATTCTTTATAAAACTAACACTGTGGGTGTATCATTATAAGATAAATTTATTTTTATGTCGACATCATCAATAATAAAGTTCATGAAGATTTGAATTCAGTTCGCGTTTTGATGCATTTGAACCATGCGGGGATTCCATCCTCGTTCATTCTATGCATACGAAACGTTTATTTAACTAACGCTCGTTTATCGTTCGTAGAATTTGCGATCGTGGAGGAACGTTTGGAAGACATGTAATTTGCGATAAACGTAATGGCATAATCGTTGCCGTAGCTAGTTGAAAATAAAGTTACGCGAAAATGCGAAATTATGTCGTTATCGGGAAACATGTTCGGAGAGGCGTGTAACCGCGGAAAGGCACTTCTGCTCGATGATGTTGCACAACCGCGAATTTACATTCCCCCGTTCATGAGAAATTCATTAGTAACAGGGATTTCAAAGATCGTAAATCCCTTCGATCGATCATTTCGCTAGATCGTTAAGTACACGTTGCACAATCTTGACTGACCTACATGACCACGCGGTAGGTTCGTAACAGGTGTATGAACGATCGTAACTCGGCGATTCACGACGGGATACCTTCGTGTACATAAACGTTAGGCGCAATAAAGGGTAGATCGTTCGTGTAGCGGTTGCTAAATATCTGTTGAAAGATATCTCGGATGTTTCTCGTGAATTAAGACTAAGAATACGCAGATATCGGCGTAACTAACTCGCATTTGGAATCTTCGAAAATGGTATCTTGAAAATTTTATTACTGGACTATACAATTTGGAAATATCGTATAAACGAGAACAAACTCTACTCTGATATATATATGTTCAAATTACATAAAATTAAAGCAAACAACCAATGTGATTACAAGTGTGTATGTTTGTTAATTATATACTTAACATTGATCATTTGCTTTAATTTCGTGTAACTTGAAATAGTCGACATGTGCAAACAGTTCGATGAAATTACTAATCCGGACTGGCAATAATCCAATAAGAATTAATTATTTGCACAACGAAATAAATTTTTCTACCTGTAGTAAGTATAAGAATATACCTTTTATTTACCATTTTCATAATTTTTTTTTATTGGTGATAATTCTGATTACAATGAAATGCTACAAGTTTTCTCTCCTCCACTTATCGTTCGTTTTTTAATTTCCTGTCCTATTAAATCGTAATTTAATCCGACAGTAAAAGAGTCAATTGACGATGGATCTTTCAGTTCGGTGAACCCGCCAGGTGGACGATTTTTAACATGACAGAGAACTTTCAACTAGACTGAGTGGCATATTTTTTTGTTTCCTCATAATTTCCAGTGTTCCAAGTCTAAGAGTTAAAAAAAAAAAAAAGAAAAACTCGAGATCTAAGAGGCTAATAATTAGGAGTTCAGGCGAGCTGACTGAGAAGCCAGAGAAGACGAAGAACATTGCGTCGATATAAACACGTACAAACGAGAATATCAAACGCTCATAGAAAAATACCATCACAACGTTCTCCTCTTTACGGCGTAATGTTTTTCACTGCGGAACGCGTGCACGTTGCGATTCATGGCCGCGGGAGATCCTAGAAATGCCGGGCAGGAAAATCGCGAGCGTGCCAGGCCGTGGGAGATTAGGCGTGTACCATGGCTCTGTGGATTTCTAGAAATCGCCACCTGGCCAGCCTGCATTCTTCCCGCGTTACAGCTTTGGGCGATCGCCTCGCTCGCTCCGGCTTCAGCCTGGTGAATCGCAGAAAATCCCAGCGACACGTACCTACGCGTAAGCGAGCATCTTCGAAGGAAGGTGTTCCCGGCGTGTACACCGTGCTCGCGCAATGCTGGTAACGGGAGAGGCGTCTTTACCGCTGCATTAACGGTCGCCGTTTTTCGCGCAAGTGAAAACAAGTTTCTGTGCTCTTACAATCGCACTGTTAAATGACAACGTTTCATTAGAAATGATTACGCACCTGGTATACGCGGCAGCGCGCGTGCGTATGTACGTGTGCGCTGCGTGGTCTCTCTCTCTTGCGAGCGTCGTTTTTCTCCGGGCGTCATTTTGCTTCGCCTTTGGTTCGCTCGGTCTCGGTCGTGATGATCGAGAATCAATCGTCCAGAGCAATTTCCGACGTCCCTCGAACGAGTATTGTAGGAAAATGTTGATCGATAGCGATCGACACGGGCGAACGATTGCTAGGACAACGAGCTGGACCATCTGACAGATAGCCAGGATTTTTAAGTGTAATTCTTCAAGTTGGTCGATCGCTACTTTCGCAACTAGCGAAGATAAATAGTACAAGATGAGAGTGTTGTCTGTTTGCTAAAAGAGTAGCGTGACTGAAGATGAGCTTTGTCAGGAGATAAGTTCCATATGTTTGTTTCTCGTTAATTATAAAAATTTCGTGAACCTTTGAGAGCGTAACTGAAAAAGCTAAAAACTGTACTATCTCGCGATAAACGATTACGTTGATTATTTTAATTATGCCACGTGAAATTAAAATGCAAACTATATTCCCGTCAAATCAGAAATTATCACACAAAATAGACATCGAACGTGACGAGAAGCATTTTTCAAAGAGAGAAACAGCTCAATGTTCCGAGGATCATCTATCGAGAAAAAGCAATACGTCCGTGTGTTTTCGTATGTGAAACGAATGGCAGGATTTTTCATCACGCTTTGCAGCCGGAAGCAATTGGCGGAATATAGGCTTTACGATTCCACGGCAGTTCGTTATAACAGCGAACGTATCAGTATTCCGAGTTACTCGAACGTGAGGCACGCCGCTAGGTGAGTTTCCCACATCGCGGCTCTTCTGGCGTTCGAATACTAATGCTCGTCTTCCCTCCCTCCCTCCCACCCC